AGAGATATCGTCCTTTATGGTGGATCTGAATAGTCCATATCAGTATGTACTAGATCCATTAGTCATTCACTTGAATAACATGTGATCAATGAATTAGTTATAGTTTTCTAATGAACAAGATTCTCATATAGTATACAATGCGACTTGTACAATACCAAGTATCTGTCCATTTGGTGATGAGATTTCTTTTCACTTGGTCAATTATGAAAATACCACAAGCGATATCATAAGAATCAAATCCACAATTAATATTCCTAATATTAGAAATGTAACCAACATTTTTCATAAATTCCATTGCAAGGAAATATGAAATGAGGCAACACGATAAACCAAATTTTCACTTTTATTGAAAATAAACGAAAAGTTAGAACTTGTCCTTACAACACATAAACTAAAAACTATGTTTCTAGACATCTCCTAAGAGTAATATCAATCTATTAAATCATCCTAACTCCTAAATAGTAGCTCCAAAATTTGATCATCAAACCATGTGAAGTCCATCTCTCAAGATCAGATTTAGCTCACTCTGCATAAGCTTCATTCTTTCTTCTTAGACCCTACAATAACATCAAAATGTGATCATCACATCTTGTATCAAGAGGCTATGAATAGGAACTTGTTAAAACAATGGAGTTAGATAATGAACGTACCTGAAGTAGAGTCACACAACTTGACTTCACTATCTCTGAGATCTTTCAGGTACTTTGGGTAGCTTCGAAACCAATGTTCCTTCAATTGGAAATAGAAACATATGGGCTCTTTGGGTTAACACATGGACGTATCTCAAAGCTAGCCTTTCTCTTCACCATATGATCAAAATTTTTGAATTTGGCCGACCCCTTTCTATTGGGAAGAGAAATCTTTTATGGAGCACCATTTTCATATTTTTCAATGTCCATGGAATCATTGGAATTAGACCCTTTAAGCACCTCTGCTTCAGATGTGCTCTTAAGCATTTATGCTTCAACAACAATCAACATTTGGGTCAGATCAATTAGAGTCACGTCGATGTTTATCACATGAAAGTTCTCAAATGAACTGTTCGTATGACTTTAGAAGCGCAAGAAGAACCAAATCAATGGATTGCTCCCTTGGGAAAACAACACCCATTCTATCTAACTTGTCAATGTATGACTTCATTTTCAGAACATGTGCACACACATAATTTCCATCTTGATCTCTAGATGCCAATAGGGCTTGAGAAGTTTTGTATCTTTCAACTCAAGTAAAACGCGACGTTGGAAGAGTCACTGGAGAATGAGGTGGAAGAGTTAAAGAAGCATGATGTCCAGATTCACCATTTCCCGAAGAAGAGAAAACATTTTCACCTTAACTAGAATATGGAAGATCATCTTCAGAAGGAAGAGGAAAACTTCCAAAAGAACGATCAAGACCGTTTATATCTTCATAAGACATCTAAAATTAGGAGAAAATAGAATTCAAGTTAGTTGCTTTTTGTCCTTAATTATTAACCCATAAATTTAAATTAAGGCTAAGATCCACATTTTCGATTCAAACTTTGAAGAGAGTTTTCGTAATCAAATTCGAATCTATTTTAGGTAGGTGAGGCTTTTACCAATTTCAATCTTATGAAACTCCTAGATCCTTTGATATTCATTGATTCTTATCAATGGAATGTTTAATCTCAGATTATGCTCTACTATTTGTGACTGAGATACCGAGGATCACAAATATGCTTGGCACTCTAACTGTCATTTATCATCTGATTTTAATGTGCCGGTTAACCACACACACTCCATTAATCAATGATAGTTTTCAAGGTGCCCATTATTACTCTCTATAATCACTATTAGTGTATCGATTAACCGCACATGCTCCACTAACTACTATAAAGTATAATGTGTTATTTTATTGATTAGCATACTTTTCACATTTTTCCTAAAGTAACTAAAATCGGGATTTTTTAAAAGATTTTAGTTTCTTTTATGTCATTAAACTAATTAATGAGATTATATCCTATCAAATCCGTTCAGCTAACGACCCTCCATCATACAAGAGAGCGGTGGGTAAGAGTGGATACTCAATGACGGTCATTTTATAGGTCGATTCCTTAAACTCTCCTCATAGTATGGCTTTGTGAATGAGGCGTACTAACGATTTGACTGACTTTGTCTTATACATATAGTATATATTAAACTTTTAATTATATATATATATATATATATATATATATATATATATATATATATATAGTATAATGTGTATTGTAAACAATTTTAAAATACTAGGGATATGACATCAATTATTAAAATTAATTAATATCTAAATTAATCATTTACACATTTAAAAAATTAATTATATTAATCAATTAAATAATTAATCAAGTCAAAGATTTATCTCCTAATTTATAGGACTTTAATTAATTATCAAATATATAGGCAAATTCGGATTTGGCAGATACAAAACAGATAATTACCAAATAAAAAGCATGCAAAATAGATTAGGCAGATTAAAATCGAAAAAATCGAATTTATCAGATCTCACGTCGTGAGCATCAACTCTCAAGTCGTGAGATACAAAAAACCGAAAATTTTTGTTTGTTCAATTCACTTATGTGCAATTAGACGAAAGACAATCTTAGGCTCTGATACCACTGATGAAAAAAGTAGGTTACAACAACAATGCACTAAGCGGAAAAACATTTAACAATTAAATGATTAGGGCACATGCAACCTAAAGGGATCTATGTCTTTCATATAAATGCAACATATTATGAACTATCAAACTACAAAAACCCTAATGAAATCAGAATTCATAAAGGAATATTACATACCTTTGATTTGTTATAGTAAACAAACCAGAAACCCTTCTTCAAAGCTTTTGGAAGCAAGTACCAGAAATCTCATGCCTCTGATGGTTCACACCCAACCCTAGCAACTAGGAGACTTGAAGAGATGGGAGAGGGACGGAAATTATGATAATGGAGTGGACGAAAATTATAGCTCATAGGGTCTATTTATATTCGAATTAGCAAACCCTAGATAACCCTAATTTGAATAAAATAATATTAATTAAAATTGGTAATTATCCAACTTCCTATTTATCTAAAAGGAATATTCCAGAAGCCCTGGAATACCCTAGAAACCGTCCACCCCTTCCAAGGAAGGTTCTGGAACCTCTTGCTCAACCATTGAACAATTACAGTTAGACCCCTGCACTTTTAATTAATCTAATTAATCCCAAAATTAATTCTAATTAATTTCTGATTAATTCTTAATTAAATATTACTATTTCTAATTAATATATTACTTTCATAACATATTAATAAACTCATTTATTGTTATTTATTAATCATATCATAAATCAATAAATCAGTCTCTCTCTCTAAAAGGCATACTATTCAATTATTAGGTTTGAGAGCAACCCAAAAGGACTTTACGAATAATTCAAGTATATTATAATTCAGTTATTAGCTTAGACACCTAATCTAACAACTTTAACTTGCAATCTTGACTCGAAATGATCTTGATTTTGTTGTTAATAACGTTTATCAGTACATGCATCAAACTACAAATGTTCCTTGGTCTGTTGTTAAATGTATTATCCACTATCTCCAAGGCAGTATGTCTCATGGAGTACTCTTTCATTAGAGGCACTTTATCGGCTTTACGTAGGCTACCAATAAAGCCTATAGAAAACCTTGAGGCTTTTAAAATTTTTGATTAGACAAGTGGCCCAGATGACATATGTTCAACTGGTATTTTTCTATCTTTCATCGGTGCCAACTTAATATCATGGTATTCTCATAAGCATAAAGATAGTCTATTTCTCCTCTACGAAATATGAAGCTCAAGATAACATTTATATAATTTTAGTAAACTAGTTATAGTCTCTTCTTACCGAGCTTCATTTTCCTCGTCTAGCTCATCCTCGTTTATGGCACGATAATGTCGAAGTTACCTGCTTATCAGCAAATCCAGTGGTGCATGCTCATAAAATGGATCAATTTGCATATAATTTCAGTGATGTTGACTTCCACTTTGTTCGAGATAAAGTTGTTAAAAAATAATTAAAAAATAATTTTACTTGTAAAATGGATCACTTTGCATATAATTTCACTAAACCTCTTCCTACACCTCGATTTTTCTTTCTAAGTACCAACCTTTAGGTTTCTCCCCGTCCTTCACTTGTGGGGGCATATAAAACCTAGTATAGATGGGCTAATATATATATATATATATATATATATATATATATATATATATATATATAATCTAATATACCCAACAACCAATAAAATTCAAACCATTAATTCAACTAACTTATCGAGTATAATCATAATAATTTGGAGGAAATCTATTAGATTTACTTAATCAGGTGGGATAATTGAATTTTATTAATGTTCTACAAAGTTCATCTTTCTTGTTGTCTATCATATGTCTAATCTATATCTTAATTTCACCAACAAATTGAAGAGGTTGAAGAAGACGATAATCTGTAAGTTACGGTACATAGTGCGTCAAAAGCATTACAATGGCTAAATTTGTGTATTTTTTCTACAAGGTATTTTTCTATTAATAAATTTGGTATTTCATATTCTAAGTATATAAAAGGTTTATTTATCGTTTAAACCATTGATAATCAAGACTACTGATTATTTTTCTTGAATAAAGGTTGGCATTATACACAGAAGTCGAAAAAAGTGTTTGCGGGTACTAAAGTTGTTGGTGCTAATATGTGCTATGGTATACGGCATTTATGTATATTCTACATATTTGAAGCATATACACATTGAGAAAAAGAGGGAATTTTTAGAGTTTCAAGTAATCAAGACGTTCCATTATAATAATGTCGTTTATCAGTCTCCAATCGCTCATTTGCATCACCCAAAACCCAAAACTTTCAACAGGTATAATCTTTATACTTCTTTTTGAAACTATATATATATATATATATATATATATATATATATATATATATATATATATATATAAGCATTTTGTAGGTATACAAGAAAGCATGTGCGCTTGTTTGTCATAATGTCCATGCAAAGATCAGGAAGTGGTTGGTTTGAAACTTTACTGAATAGTCATATGAATATAAGCTCCAATGGAGAGATTTTTGGTCAGAAAAAGAGGAGACAAAATCTTACCTCGATTATTAACACACTTGATAGAGTTTATAATATGGACTTGATTACTAGTTCTACCAAGAATGATTGTTCTGCTGCGATTGGATTCAAATGGATGCTTAATCAGGTAAGACTAGAGTTTCATAGTTTTCATTAGTTGTTGATGTCATCTAAATACAATCTTGATGCTGAAGGGTTTGATGGAACACCCTAAAGAGATTCTTGGCTACTTTTCTAAAAGGGACGTTTCAGTCATTTTCTTCTTGAGAAGAAATATGATGCGTAGATTAGTTTCTATACTTGCGAATTCATTCGATAAAGATGCAAGGGTTCTAAATGGCATTCATGTATCTCATGTACACTCGCATGGAGAGGTATAAAGCAGTTTTATGTTTTCAGTGAAAAATACTACTAGAAATCAAGTATTAACTAGTGACACATGAATCCGTGGTAAATCTGTTTTAGGACCTTAAAAATAAGTTAGCTTATAAACTAACTTATTGTAATTTTGCATTTGGTAAAACCAGAAAAGTAGTTTATAATAGTTTACAAAATAGCTTATAAGCTAGCTTAAGATAACTTATTAATAAACTAACTTATAAACTAGTTTGCCAAACATGGTCTTAATCGCAGATAGAATTTGTCACATCAATGGCTGATGCTTGAGGGGGCCTTCAATAGACTAGAAAAGAAATGGAGTTTACTAATAAAAACTAAATACCATTTATATTTTACTTGTGATTAAATCTTTTACTTTTATTTTCAAATATATAATGGTGTATAGTCTTTCATTCTTTTGATATAAAAGCAAATAATATAATTGAACTTCTTCCAAAGAAGAATATAATTGAACTTTTTCCAAATGTGAACACTATAACATATGGAATTTTAATGATATGAAAAAAAATTGACAACCAGACATACAAAAGAATGCAATATCGAATTCCAATTTTATCACATTTACCTTGAACCCACGAACCAAAGAAGCCCATAGGTATGCCAAATACCTATATATCATATTAATCATATGAATGCATGACATTGTTTGGGTTTTCATCTTGCTCTTAGGCTTTGTTATTGTCGAGATTTAAACCCACAATCAATGTAACATCACTGAAATCAGATTTGGGAAAGATGGAATCAATAGCCATGAAGGCGCTTGAGTACTTCAATTGCACGAGGCACATCATAGTGTATTATGAAGATCTAATCAAGAACCCTTATGTAAGTAAATACTTGTTTTAGCTCTAAATTTTTCATGCCCTAATTAAACTCATTTTGTGTTATTTGTATGACTGTTCTAGAAACTTACACAAGTGGAAGACTTTTTGAAGCTACCACGAATGAAATTAAATAGTCGACAAGTGAAGATACATAAAGGACCATTGTCGGAACACATCAACAACTGGAAAGATGTCAACAAGACTCTCATTGGAACAACTTACGAGAGATATCTTAGATCGGACTATTAATTGATGCCCAACCACAAAAAGTTGGTCTTTTAAGTAGTTCCTAAGATTGTGTGTAGGAAGGGGGTATTATATTCTAGTTAGTAGCTCACTAACTGTGATGTTGCTACAATAGACTAAATATATATGTTTGGAAATGAAAATGCAGTGTACAATTAGGTTTAGCACTTCCCTTAGACCGACCCATCACTTTTTCCCTTTCGCACTATGTTATTTTTCCCTTGCTCTGTCATCACCTAGAAATGTTCACCCTTATTTCTCATCATTTTTTTTAATAAAATGTATTAAAAATATAATATATTTATAAACAAATTCAACATTAATAAGAACATGATTTTTTTTCATTAATTCAATAGATAAAACAAAAATTAAAATATAATAATAGTTCAAATGAGCCTAAATGTTATATATATATATATATATATATATATATATATATATATATATATATATATTATTTTTTCTTTGACCATTAAAGTTGTATCAAGTTCTTCTCTAGAAAGAAAGATGATGGGTGTTTTTGTATTATAAATTTCATCTATTTGACCAAATGTTTTTTGTGATTTTTTTTTCTCTTTGTGTCTTTAAGCTATTTAAAAAAAAAAAAAACTGCATAGGTACCTCAAAATTCAAATTATATTTTTCGTATTCAATTGTCATCTTCGGTAATTGCTCACATTTTCGATCCTGATGCACTAGAAAAAGACAATTTCTTTTTTTCTTTATCTGGACCTTTACAAAAAAAACATGTCATTTAGTGGTACACAAAAAGCGCTACTAAAAACCCCAAAAAATATCACTAAAGACTTCTTAGATAATCAGTGACACGCATAATAAATGCCACTAGAAATGCTCTCACTAAAACCCTTTGGTGACACTTTTTGCTTTTGCCGCTACAATTTGTTAGGCTTTTAGTGACAAATTTTTATTTGTCACAGTAGAATAAAAAGTTAGTTGTGGAACATATTTTGTGCCATTAAAAGGTCATGTGATTCAAGAAATTATGCTACTATTAGTTACATATTTTAAGATTTTAGTGACAATTTTTTGTTTGCCACAATACAATATATATATATATATATATATATTGTGGCACATTATGCATAAGTAAATACTTTTGAGATTTTACAATTTAAACTACTTTTATATTTATATATATATATATATATATATATATATATATATATATATATATATATATATATATATATATATAACTTTTATCTATAATATAAAATAAAATAAATAATTAGATTGTTACACGTACAAAATAATATTTAATCCATTGTTTTCATCAATATTTTCTAACGTTTTGAAACAAATATCTAAGTTAATGTTAAATACGGCTAAACATTTGAAAAATCATCAACAAATCTTTGGATACTTGAGGAGTCGCTTGCAATGGCTTATAGGAACCTGCATAATAGCAACATACAAAAAACATGACAACTGTTTGTCCCATTTTCAAAGTAATAGTAACATACTTTGAAAATAGGTTGTTATACTTTCAAATAATAGCAACGTTCTTTCAAAGTATGTTGTTATTAATTTAAAAATGTGATAAAAAAACATGTCAGCCCCATTGTTTTTGTCCCATTTTCAAAGTAATATTCATATATTTTGAAAGTAGGTTGCTATACTTTGAAAATATGGCAACCTACTTTCAAAGTATGTTGTTATTAATTTGAAAGTGGGACAAAAAACATGGTTTAAAGCAAAGCAAAGAGTAGTTACTTGAAATTATTAAATACAAAATAAGACCATAAGATAAGTCAAAGTAGAAGAATATAATAATACCTATTCGTGAGCAAGTCAAGCAAATGATTTTGTCCAAGAAACATGGGCTTCATTGTCTTCTTTTTGTAATTTATCCAAAAAGAAATAGTTACTAACTTCTAGTGGCATGAAGCTATATAAATAAGTTCAATTGACATCTCAAATGTCATATAGAACATAAAATTAAGAAACCGTATAATAAAAAAATCCACCTTTAATCCATCAATGAGGCGACCTAGCATTCTTCGAAAAAAATATATATTTTCAAATTACCATTTATGGTCCCTCTTTGAGAATTACATTTTCTAAAGTGGTTGTTAATCTCGTTGAAAACTACTCCTATTAAAAAGGAAACTGACACTCCCGTAACGATTAAGAGCTACAAAGTAGATGTAAATAATTAAAAAAAAACATCCCAAGGTTTCATGTACTAACTTTTGTTGTGTTATATAATATATATGTGTGATATTATCATAATATAGAAAAAAAATTTGGTCATTCTATTTTAAAGATTCAATGAACTCTCTAAGTAAAATGGTGACTACTTGAGAAAAGTAAGATGCTAACCACCCTCCTATGCTAAAAGCACTTGAAAATTATTTTGAAGATTTAATTGTTTGAAATCGTTAAAAGATAGAAAGTTCTTTAAATGAGAAGGGTTAAAGTTAACTTGCCCTTTTCGACCGAAGAAACTACCATTGTCTCACTTGCAACGGCACCAATCATTGCACCAAATGTCAAGGACCCAAATAAAGAATACTACAATGTCACACCCCAAAACCGGAACGGCAGAAACGTTCTGGGGTGGAGGACATCATGTACAGTATCATAACAAAGCATAATAGTAAACAAGCAACAATATCCATTGCATTAATAGAATAATTTTAATACAAACGTGTTCTGTATAGTATGTAAGACACCAAAAATGTATAATCAAAATAAAGATGAGTCTTGTATGTGCTCCATCTTCTCAAAAAGCTTCATCTGTACCTGTCTACTGATGACCTGAGAATACAAGTTATTTTGAAAGAGTTTATCAGCATTAACGCTGGTGAGTTCATAAGTATTTATTGTCATTAATTGTATGAAAACGTTTGTAACAACTTAGTGTAGTAACTGGTTTCAAATGTTTGTAAATAGTATACTCCCTAGAAAATCCTATATTTTCCAGTAAAAATGTAGTCTTCTACCAAGACCCGATTTGTTTGTATGTTTGTTCTTTCGTAATAGTAAGAGTTTTCCCCGATGAACTATTATTATAAAATTATAGTTTACTTAAATGTGTACGTGATAGAATCACAAAGTGAATGTTGTAGGAAACTAATGTTTTCCTCAGCAGTGACACTGCTGGTTATAAAGTGAAGAAACACAGACTCCAGGTAGTACTAAATGTACAGTACACCTCGGGGAGTCTAAAGTAGTAAAAATGTAGACTCCAGGTGGTATCAAATGAACGATACGCCTCGTAAAGTCTAGAGAAATGAAATGCAGACTCCAGGTGGTATTAAATGAACAATACGCCGCGGAGAGTCTGTTTGCCTTTAATTCTTAATTGGTTAATTTAAAGGTTCGAATGTGAACTCGTATGTAACCATGCTGATCGACGGCTGAATAACTGATGACCCTCCAGTGTCATATGTAGTATGGTAACATTCTGTCACCCCTTGGCCTTATCGGCTGGGACTGTAGCTAGCAGTCGGGGTGTGGGTGTGTCTGTCCCGTATAGATCTATACACACAATGCCCGCTCTCCCTCCAGGAGACTCTGGTTACAAAGTGATACCACGATGAAGTGTCGTATCGAGAAGTAGTATGTCACATTCTGTTATAGTATTCAAATGTTTGTGTAGTAATTCATAGTGTAGTGATGTTTTCTCCTTTCTAGTATATAGTATGTTCCTTTGTATAGTGTATAGTATGTTCTCTTGTATAGTGTATAGCATGTATTGTTTCTCAAAGTAGTACTTATGTAGTGACTCATAAATGTACTGACTCTTGTATGGGTCGTTGTAATAGTAATAGTGAGTAGTAATCCCTTAACTATACCTATTATAGTTAAATAGTAATGTTGTTTGTATGCCTTTGTTACACAAAGGTACTGTACTGAAGTGAAAGCTTTTATATCTAACACACACACACACACATATATATATATATATATATATATATATATATATATATATATATATATATATATATATATATATATATGATATATAACTAAGATTTCAACGACATTCGGACAAATAACAGGATACCCTAAGTCCACAACCAAACAAGGAACATGAAATAAGGTGAGCTATCAGTCCTAAGTCCTTCAAGTCTTACTTATATAAATATATTAGTGTAGACATGAGTTTGAAAACAATGCAAGTTTAAAAGAGTTTGGAAACAGTTTTAGTATTTAAAAGTTTAATAAAAGGATTTTGAAACGCTTGAAAACCATAAATTGGATAGTAACTTGAAAGTAGTAGTAAATCTTTCTGTTTGTTCTAGACATTAATAACATGTGATTAAAACAATGGCTAGAATGTTTCAACTTGTATTCCCCCCCCCCCCCCATAAAAGCATTAAGAATCATTTCAAAGGTTGATTAAGGGGGTATGAACTCACCTGCAGTGAGTAACTCGAATGAAAGGTCGATATAGGATCGCCGGGTGTCAATTGAAGTCTTGAGCACAAACGAATCCTATTTTCATGTAATAACACATATATAAATACACTTAGGGTATATAACCACTAATAGACACTTGGACACGCCTTAGGGACATGAATACACTTAGAATTAAGTGTTACAAACAGCCCTTAAAGTCCCTAAATGAGTGTAGGGCCTTAGATTTTAGTGTAAGGCCACCAAACTCAACTTTGATGAGTGTGCGGCTAGGTGTGCAGCCAGAGTGTGCGGCCAGGCCTGTGTGCGGCCGTACACTCCCATCTAAATGTGTCCAAATCGATTTTCCAAGGCTTGGGGATGATCCTAAGAAGGTATTTTGGCCGTTGCTATGCTTAGATGAGTGTTTAAGTCTATTTTAGGGCCAAAAGATGTGTGTGCGGTCACACATGATGTGTGTGCGGCCGTACACACATGAAGATCATCTTGAATGATGATTTCATGGATCAAACTCGAGGAAAAGGCTTTCAAACGTGTTGTAGTAATGATCTAAGGATGTTTACTTACTTATTTTGATGATTGGAGAGGAAAACTTGAAGAACTCTTGAGAGAGAATG